CATGCGCATCTCTAGGTGCAATTTATTGGGTAACCTCTTTCCATCTCTAGCTTCAAATCCAACCAAATGCTTCACCTTCTCATTTGAAAACTAAACATCATGCGCATCTCTAGGTGCAATTTGTTGGTTAAACTCTTAATCTTACACAATTGCTCCAACTTCAACCACAACATAGTTGTCGTTATCTCCTTCAAAACAACTTCAAAAATGTTATCTAAAAGATGAAGATGAATTTGTGAAAGTGCATTATCATCCTGACGTTGTTTCTCTTCCATCGACCAAGTTGAGTGTATCTTATCAAATTCCAACAACGCATCATTTGAATCCACATGGGTGAGTATAACTCGCATCTTTACCTGTCACAATGAGAATATAGTGTTGCGATCAAAAAATGGAATAGCATACTTCATGGTTTCCAACAAGAACAAGAACCTCGAACAAATCAAAAAATCAAAACTCTGATACCACTTGTTGGGGAGTGGTAGAGATTATATATGAAGTATTGATCATAGCAACAAGATGAACAAAAAAGACAAAAATTTAATTTGGTCGAAGAATTTGAGATGTTATTCAACTATAATGGAGAAAAATTACAACAATTGTATTTCCCAAAATTATTCTAAATTGTAGTAATAAATCAACTCGTAAAGAAGAGCCTACTATATATAGGGGACATATCAAAACCCTAAATATTCTTAAAGATGGAAATGGTATAAAAAATGCTTGAAATAAAGGAAACGATATTTTTCCCAAAAAAGATCCAATTGAATTTCGATCACAAACCCAACAGAAATCTCATCAGACCCATGGGTAGAATCTCTAGTAACACTACAATGTTTAACGGGCAGCTCTATATTTTCAAGGTTGGTTACAATAGTCCACAACACAGGAAGATTAATGTGGGGTAAAAGAATTCAATAAAACTAAAAAGAACACAAAGATTTACGTGGTTTAGCGCCAATGTAGCAACCTGCATTCACTGGAGAAAAGATGGGCTTGTATATTATTCACTTATGTTTGGAGCTTAAAATGAAATATATATAGTCACATTACATCAAGATTGCCTTATCAAGGATGAGGCAATCGAAGAAAGAAAATAACGAATTATGGAAATCTTCCAAATCTTTGTTACACCATAATATTCTCAAATATTAGCAAATCCTTCAAATATCTCTCTTCTCGAACAAATAGGAGATTGAGCTCTCTTGACTATGTGACTATGTCTATTGAACAAAACGCGATCACCTAATGTATGAGGTTTATAATTAGAGATATTTTAATATTAATTATCTTTATAGATACACTGAGCCGTCCTGACTTTAGTCCTCTGCTTCGCAGAAGATGTTGTCTTGACTCCTGAACTCGACATTATCAAGTAGTTCGAGAACGAGTTAGAAAGTAAAAAGCAATTTACCCCAATTGTCAAGATAGACGTTAGAGGCTGGGGGTGTACATGTAACTCGGAGAACGGTCTGACACTCACCTCTTCAACTGTCATATGGAATGTCATGACACATGTGCACTTGTTCCTACTCCTGATTGAAAAGACAATGGTTCTCCATGGACTTCATATCAATCATGTAGACAGATTAGTGCTTGTTAAGTGTATATTGTACACTTATTTGGACCATTAAATGAAGCTAATTGTTATTAATTATGGTAACTTATGACTTAATTAAGTGTTTATTTTGTTTGCTAGGTGAAACTCAATGATTGGAAGTGAAATTGGAAGAAATAAACGAAAAATGACTAAAGTGAAATAAATACAAAGTTTGAGAATTAAAGTGCACATATTCAATAATTCATTCGAATCACAAAATGATGACTAAAGGTCACGTAGGATCAATTGGATGCAATTGAAAGTCAAATGAGGGAAATATAGTCAAAATATTTTCACAAATCAATTTCCAACCGAAAACGTTATGCTCCAGATTTTCAGTCTTATATTGAGACCCTAGCAAATGTTCGAATTGAGAAAATGATACTCCTACAAGAATTGTAGTGCTTTGAGTTATTTTTTCAACACACATTGAATTATTTCAATCGAATATTGGGAGAAAAAGTTACGACGAAAATACTGAAGGCTGTTTAAAGATAAAATCACCTATAACGCGAGTGCGAGACTTGTACCAGTATGGGTATGAGCAAGAATTTCACACAACCCGAGACAAAAAAATTGTTGATTGGCACGTATGCAGGGAAAGATACAGCGCGGGTGCGCAGTGTAAATTTTGCTCGATGGGCCAATTTCATTTTTGGTTAAAACTCTTTTATAATTCAATTTGTACGCGATTTTTATCTGATGTTCGACTTCTATAATTGTAGAACTTGGGCAAAACATTGAAAGCTCTCTCTAGCCTCTTAATACACAATTAAATCATATAATTCATTAAAAACAATAGGTCAATTACTATTTTGAGAGAGAATATCAAACCATAACAAGAATTGAAAGTCAATTATATCAATTAATTGAAGATTTTTACATTGGACTTGAAGATCAATATCTTTTGCATTATTTTATGATTCGAATGATATCTTTTTGTTATCATTCTTGTAATTTATATAAATTCATGCTAGGCTAAATTCATTTTTGTATTGGATAAAGATAAACCATATTGTTTATTTATTTTAATTCAAGACTAATAGTTTAGTACTTTTGTATTTCTTGATTAATTTTTTGCATTCCTATTGCATAATTTAATTTATTGGTCACCAATTCAATAATTAATTGTTTGTTATAGTGTTGGGAGAATTACAATAAGTTTAGAATGTGGCAAGATTAAAATATGGTCAATAGATGTTAATAATAACAATATTGCATGTGGAATAGATTAGGATCGTGATTAGAATATAATTAATTTATCTTGAAAAAGGAAGTTAAATACCTTAAATTTATCGATCGTCAAAAATGCTTGAACAAAACTAATTGCTTGATTGAGAACTGAAATAGATATAGTAATAGGCGAATTTGAAATTCAATACAATCATCTATAATTTGATACAAACACACTTTTTACATATTTGTTAGCATAATTTAGAATAATCACAAATCAAATCTCTTTTATGTCACATAATTTGAAATTAATACAAAATTAGTAAACTTGAATTGGAATTTATTGTCCGTGAGACTATACTATTAACTCATCAAATATATTGCTCGTCAACGATCCTGCATGCTTGCAAGATTCTCTTGAAATTTTTTTTTTTTATTGGCTTCTCAAATGCAAATTGGGCTTGCAGCCTTGATAATAGAAGATTTGTAGTAGGCCATTGTGTTTTCTTTTGTGACTCTTTGGTGTCTTAGTCATCCAAAAAATAGCACGTAGTTGCAAGATCGATCACGAAATCAGAATACAAGGCATTGCACATGAGGCTTGTGAGTTTTCTTGGACTCAATCCATGGTGCTGCTCAAGTGTCAAGTGTACTTCTAAAATTGGACTAAAGAAGTCGTGTTCTACAAACAGTACCACTTTAGCGGATGGGTTTCACTGGATGATGACACGAGGCTCTGTGATGGCTGTTGGATTTGCTTCTCTTTTGATGGTTAAAATGTTTTATCTGGTTTGTTAGGTTTATTCATTGTGTTGAGACTTTTAACAAGATACTACTTCATTTTATGTGTTCTTCGTCTTCTCTTGATATCATCATTTGAGACTTCAAATCTGCATCATCTTTATTTTTTATTTTTTTGGTTTATTACTTGGTGTAATACATAAAGAACTTGATGTTCTTTATTTCTTGGTTTACAGAAAGTGTTTAATTTGCTTTGTGGGGTTCTTGGTGAATAGTAAACTTTACTCGAAGGGGTTGTTTGGATGTAAAAGATAAGTCTTCAGTGACTACATATGTGGAATTTGTACATTGTTGTATCCTTGATTGTCATTTTGAGACTTTATAGTACAATTGAGCATTATCCACTTTTGTGGATGTTCAATAGGTGATTAGGTGTTGGAAGTGGGCATCGATCCTTTGGAACTTCAATCGAAAAAAATCTTGTGTACAAACTTTTATTTTTCTACCTTTAGATTTTAGATCTTTAGTATTAAAGTGTTTATATCTTGTTTTTGTTTGTTTCTGGACATTTCACAATCTTTATTACAAGAGTTAAGTCTTCATCTTTATTACAAGAGTTATTTTTCTACCTTTAGATTTTAGATCTTTAGTTTTAAACAACATGTTTGAGTACTTCAAATTTTTACTCTCTAAATTTATATATATTTTCTAAATTGTAGAAAATGTTCTTTAAAATAGATATGCTCTGGGGACGGAGAAATGGACGTACATTTTGTTAGGAACAGGGTCTTGATTTAACAGTTGGATATCGGGTACATTCCTTCACGTAATCAGATGACTAACTACTTAACCAAAGCCTTATCACACTCTAAATTTAGAGGGTGTTTGGTGGGGATTGAAATCAGATTTTTAGTAGATTGTGATAGAAGTTTTTGAAATTTGTGGTTGAAAAGTTGTGAGATCCATGAAAGATATGGTTAATATTGATTGTTTGACTTTGACTTAAATGAAAATCAGATTTTAATCCAAAACAAACAGGCTCTTAATTTTCTTAGAGACTATCTCGGTTTGATGCTGAGACCCTCATCACTCACTCGTCTGAGAGGGGCTGCTAAGAATACTACAGCAGCATAGCTTAAATATGGAAGCTTATTCCATTTCTCATGTAAATGGGTAGACTAGATATTCTTATCTATGGTTGAGGACATCCTTTTAATTGTACATATTGAACCTTCGAAATGTAGGATGAAATTCAATTAACACAACCGTTGGTAGTTAATTCTATCTTTGAATGAAAAGAAACTCAATTAGAATACAATTCCATTTATTCCCTGCAACTCACAACTAATTAAAGTACAAATTTCATAGAACCAAAAAGAGGAATGAACACTCGAACATATCTAAAATGCCGAAGCATTTCTTCTTTAAACATGTGCTAGTCAGTTGCTTGCATGCCTTCAATGTGTTGAAACACTTTAATATGTGTTTATCTGCAGGAGATGAAGCTGGAGTTCTTGCGGTAACAACTTGGCTCTCGTGGAACTGTCAAAGGCCTTGTTGATCTGAAAAATAAATGATCGAAACTGTTTTAGCAACATGATAAAATTTACTGGTTCACGTTTCCGCATTGTAATCTCGCTCTTCTTTTTGTACGTTTGGCTATAAGAGTGTCGTGATTTTTCTGTACAAAAAGTTAGAAAGTGGGAGCGATACACTGATAAAGTCCATTGTGATTGTCGAAGATATAATCATTTTTAAATGTAGCCGTGAATTACGTATTCACCTAGCTCGTCCATATAATTATAATACCTTTGTGGGAAGAAGGGTCTATCGAAAAAAGGCATCAATTGAGCTCTGGGAACCATTTCCTTTCTCAGCATTCTAACCTCTTCCTCATCTATTATCTGCTTCAAATCAAACATTTTGTTGCATTAAATTGACTTTAAAATATGATTTTTAAGACCATCTTCAAGTGTGTGTTTGTTTGTGTACCTTTAGCAGCTTCTCAACTTGCCTCTTCTGTTGCTCCATGATACTCAGCTTGATTTCAACCTGTACTAGTTCCGAAGTACAAAAAGATACATACTCATCAATACCTAGCTCATTGGACAGGCCAGCACATGTCCCTCGCCTATATATGCTCAATGCACTCGATCTAATACAGAAAAATCTGTGTGCTTTATTGCTATAAAAGGTAGCAGATCAGTGGTATACGTACCGTAGAGTTGAACAATGCACGCCTGGCTGCTCTTTCCTGAGTGTGGAGCTTGATTTCCAATGGTTTGGTATTTTCTTTTATCAGAGGCTTTTGAAGAACCTACAGACAAATCTTTTAAAGTTTGTTCATATGATGTGCAGGAGATACTGCTTAACTATCTCTTATTCTCGATCTTCCAAGATTTATTGTCTCAATATTTTCACTGAGGTAATAAATTATACGATTTTGACTGGTTCCTAATGAGTAAAAGTCCGATAATGTGTGAACAGTTGAACTGCTATGGGCAGCCATTATGAAAGAACTACTCATAGTGGGTTTTAAACTACTTGGACATGTTTGGTGCACAGTAATCAACATGACTAGACTCTAATGGACAAAATTTTAACTTTTCTTATTCTTTATTACTGTCAAATAAATCATGCCAAGTGTCCCATTATTGTGTTGCGTCTTGATTGTTAAGAAAGAAAATAGAACTTTTGCCAAAATCTTCAGCCTGATGAGCAGTCTCACTTTTTTTTTTCAACGTCAGTTTGTTATGCTGGAGTAAACAAGACTTAACATTACAACGGAGTTTTTCTTTCTTAATATTGTCCAATGCTATTTTTGACTACCAAACGTGCCATCGTATCTCTATTAATATATGCACTACGCATACAATCATAAAACCTACCGCAGAATGGCTGCTGAAGGGTCGTCGAGGCGGGCTGTTCTTTGCTCCTCTGGTACTTAATGGAGCCGCAGGCTGTGAACTAGTACTCTTCACAAGCTTAAAAGCAAGCAAAATATAGTATGAAGTGTTTGATGATTAAATCTTTAAGGCCAACAGAAGAATATACAATCAAGAACAATGGGACATGTAAATACTACTCACCTTTTGAGAAGATTTCCTGTTTGGGCTCTCCATCATCACTTCTTAATTAATTATGGCTTACTTACTGTAACTACTGATAAACCTGAAGTATATATGAAGACATATTTATATTATGGGGTTTGGAGATTTGTGAGGAATCACTTGCTGTTGCTCCATCACCAGCATCTTCAGGAACTTGCATGCTCTTCTTCACCAAACTTTCTGATTAAATCTCCCTCTCATATGCACAATTCAGATCATTTGTTCAACTGTTCACTTTGCTTGGATTAAAAATGGAAAAAAGAATCAATAAAAAAGGGAGTTTTGAGTGGAGTCTTGTGTTTTAAGTCAAGATTAATTAAAATGCCATCAATGCATTACATATTTATTTTATTTTATTTTTTTTCAGCATTGGGTAAAAACTTAATCAATTGTTTTATCTAGTGTGTGTAATTTGTATCATTTTCTTGACTGAAGAACCTATAGCTAATTAAAACACAACAGCTAGACTTATTGTTCTATATATGATACAAGTAGGCGCACTTGTATTATACTTTTACCATTTTCAGTCAAAACATGATTATGAGCATAGTGTATAAGCACTTTTAAGCTTAACCAAACATGATAATACTTTCAACTACATATATACATAAAATGGAGAAGTGCAAAATTTTAATGGCATGTACGTTTGGAATGTTGGGCACGATTAGATTAGGCTAAACAAGACGTCAATATAATGATCTAATTGTATTCCACATCATTTGTGAAATGTCAGCAGCATGAGTTTATAAGCATTTTGGACACCCTTCTTTATAAGTCAATTTTAAGGTAAGTTCTACACAAAGTGTTGATTGCAATTAGAATAGAGTAGGCACACCGTTTCAGTAGAAGATTGGTTTTGTAATGTCATTTTAATTGTATCCTACATCGTTACTTACATAGCGTGAATTTATTTATATCATACATTACTCGTGAAAGTTATAACCACTTTAGACACCATTACCTTATTAGTCGATTTTATAGGTGAGTTGTGTCCTAAGTGGTGGTTGCAATGATAATTTCATATACATATTTCTCTTCTTTAGTTGTGTCAAATCATATTCAGGGTTATTTGATAGAGATTAAAATTAGATTTTTAGTAGATTTTGATAAAAGTTGATAGAATGTGTGGCTAAAAAGTTATGGGATCAATGAAATATGTGGTTAATATTAATTGTTTTACTTTGACTTACATTAGAATTTGATTTTAATCAATACCAAACAGGGGTTCAGTTCTACCTATCCAACATACTTTAAAATTTACATTAAGTGCGATGTTAAAAGTTGATAAAATCTAGCGAATTCAAATTAAATTGTGTGGTAAAGAAAGTAGATAGAAATTGTGGTTCTATTAAATGAATAAATAAAAATATTTGACAAGCTTTTAAGCAAACAAAAACTTTATGAAAAAAGCAGACATTCATGAACCAACTTTGATTGAATAGTGTGGAGTGGGTAGGCGAAATTACATTCTCTCACTATCAATCAGAGATTTAATGATGATTTTAGCACTAAACTGACATATAATCAAAGATTTCTTGTTAAGTCTGTTATGTTAATTAGAAATTGGTAGTCTTTCATTTCTGGGCAGTTCTTGGCTTATTGTCAAATGATATAGTTATTAATATAGTAGTTAGGTTATGATTCTAGCAACCTACTTGTGAAAACATCAAATGCTTGTGTTTCAAGTTAGTGAACAATACATCAGATCCGTTGCTGTGATTCATTTGCATCTCTTGTGATGTCATGTCTCGATTAGCTATGTCAACAAGCCAAAACTCAAAGAGCTCGAGCAAAATAGGTCCGAGCTTTTTTGGGCCTAAGTCAAATTTTTAGGCTTGACCCGAGCTTTTGGCTCAGGCCTTTACGAGCCGGTTCGATTTTTTTTTATTATTTTTTTGGTGACTGCTTCTCAGTTGCCTGCATTGCAGTGGCTAAATTAATTTTTTTTTATTTTAACTTTTTTTTCTAAAACACGAGCAGGGTCGGGGCGGGCCGGGCCGACGCCCCAAATGGTGCTCGGCCCGAGCCCGAACGGACAAACTTTTTTGCCATCCCTAAGTGTGTGAGTGGTAGGGTTAGTTGCCTCTCACTAAATTTCAAATTTTGCCCATAATTTTTTTAAAATTTTTCAAAAAAAAAATAAATTCTTTATAACTTTCAATTTTTGCCCTCACAATTAAAATTTTCTGAAAACTACATCAACG